CTTAATTTCTAGGGCTCGTGAGTTCATGTCTCAAAAAATGCTATAAGTATGCACTTATGCACTAAAAACTGGAAAAAAATGCATTTTAATTTGCTTTAAAAAGTTAAAAAATATGCATTTATATGTACTAAAAATATGCAGATTAAAAAAAAAAAGAAATTATGTCATTTTCGGAATAACAAAAAATTCCATTAATATTTATATAAGTTGTATTTTTTTTGTTGAAATGTAATTTCAAAAAATAAATTAAAAATATTCATTAATAATCTAATAGAATAAACATCCAGTCAGTCGTTCATTTAAAATTTTAAAATTTTAAAACGAATTTATTAAACAATAAAGAATATTACTATACTTAATAAAATAATTTATATTACCTAAAAAATTGCATTGTACAATAACAATTTTTTTTATGTTATCAAGTTTGGATAAATGGCGGTTATGTGTGACTAAATTGGTGTACATTGAAAATAATTTTACAACGTCAGCAGTGATGATTGGTGCATATTTATAACACAAAAAATCATAAAGGGCCATGACTTCGGGTTATCCTAGATTTTCAATAATTGTACGTTGCGAAAATGCCCATATATAAAAATACAATACAAAAATATAAATTATTGCATTTTCATCAAATTTTGGTAAAAATACGCCAAGTATGCACAATAAAATAGAAAAACGCATAAATATGCCAAATAGTCAAAAAACCTCTTAATATGTAAAAATATGCAAAATAAAACTTCATATACCTACTCAACCACGGTACCTTAAAATGGATTTCTATAATACCTATCATTAAATACGACTAAGCAAGATTGATACGCAAATACATGAACTCACTAGTCCTGTTAATTTTTATACATATAAGTATATACGTTTTGTGAATTAAATCAACATTTTCGACCTAGAAATGAGCATTTTTAACTTGTAATATTTACAATACTTATATTTTGTTTGAAAATTGAAATATCGAAAAAGCCAACGCCAAGCACAAATAACGTTCTTACCTTTCACTTTAATAATGGGTCAATTTTTCCTAAAATTAAAGCTAACAATACATAATTGATTTTATACTAAACGTAAATTTGTTATCTTGTATGATAGTAAGATGGAGACAAGAAATGTGAGGGTAGCATTCACTTAAAGGTACGGTTTTTCTGTGGTGTTATGATGTGCTGTTTCGTTATTTGACACTGCAAGGAAGCTGTACCTTAAGTTTTTTTTTATTTGTGTCGAAGTGTGCGAAGTACAAGACAAATGTCAGACTTCTGCAACTGGTTTGTAGTGCTTAGTGCTACCATTTATAAATTATTAATTTTAGCATTATTTATGATATGTTTATAACATTTAATTAGACAAACAAATATTTGAGTATATAGACAAAATATAATTAAAATAATTCATTCAAATATTTCAAATGTGTGCTTTATACCTACCTTTTGATGGTTTTTAATGATGTCATAATTTATGATTTATATATTTATAATTACTCATAATAATTTATTAAATTACAATTTCTATGCATCAATTATTATTGTTTATTCATGATTTATAATTTATAATAATAAACTAATTACAAGTTTATATAATTATATCAATACAATTAAGTTGTATTGGTGTGTTGAATAATGAAGTGTGAGTTAGTTCTTAGAATCAGCAACTAGATATTTTTTCGACAACGACTACTTACACATATTATGTCTATATTATGTAATGGTATCTTTCAGTATAATTATATGAATTTGTTGGTTAATTAATAGGATGTTTAATCAAACGACATAAAATTCCGTTATCAAATAACAAAAACGACTTCTATAAACTATTAGATTTAAATGTTGGAGTTACTGTGGAGTTTTATGGAAAACAGTTTAAAATAATTGGCACTGATAGTTTCACTAGAGATTTTTTGAAGAAAAACGGCGTTGATGTACCCGAAAACTTATCAATGCCTGATGATCCTCACTTCACTAGAAGAGAAAAAGTAATACTAATATTGTTTAAAATATAAATAATGATTATAATTGTTTAATAATATGATAATTTGTTTTCTTTGCTTTTTATGTATTTTTTTACAAATAATGTATAGACACAAAATAAAAAACAATCGGTGAATAAAATAATGTCACCCGTCTATAAACAAGGATTCGATGGCATTTTAAATTTTAAAGGTTTTTGGGATGATCGTTACAATGTTGATGGTGACTTACATATTTTAGAAGTTCGTTACTTTTTGGTGGACGATACAATACAGATTGTTGAACATAATTCAGATGGCGGTTTAAAAACATTTCTCAAAAGACAAAAACTTCCAAAAGTATTAAACTGTATATAGAACTTTATAACTAATTATTGTGATGCATTGCATTTTGTTATAGGACCAAATTTATGTAAAACCACCGGGCTTTAGCGAACAAAATGATTTATTGAATGTATTGGCTATAAATTCAATGAATCAATGGTACGCTTTTGATCCTCTGGGTAATTTGAACGATGTACAAGACTCTTATTATCATTGGTCAAATTTACATGTGGGAGCTGAAATTGATGTTTATAGCCGAAAAATAGTTTTATCTAGTTGTGACGAGTTTACCAAGCAATATTATTTAGATCATGGTTTGAGTAGGTTATAAAAATGTTTTAATATAATTTTAATGTATGAAATTCTGGTACTTTAATATTTTATGTATTATGATTGTAACTGTAGATAATTTCCCATCTATTATTGAGACTCCAAAAGTTGTAGAAGAAAAAGAAAAAGAAAATGTTCAAACCATACCAGTGTGTCACGATGAAAATATTTTGAATAAACTACTTAATCATTCAAAAATTGAAGCTTTAGTTTTTAAAGCAAACATTTTACCTAAAGAACCGAACAATTTAAATCAAGAATTTATCGTAAAATGTTTTTTAAACGATCAAAGTTTGTCTGTTTCTGAAATGAAAATACAGACTGCTGGTAAGTTTAATTATCTTTATATATGTATTGGCATGTATAAACTTACTGACTTTTTGATTTTGTTTATATTATTTAGGCGCAATAGGTTGTAGATTTTTTTCAAAACGGAAAATTCCTAAAGAAAATCCAAATGAACTTAATGTAATATTTAAATTATATGTCGGTGTTAAATTAATTATAGATGGTTTTCAATTTGTGCTTGTTGATGTCGAAGATAGGACATTAAGGTTTATGATGGATCATCCAAAAGAAGTAAGTTTGCATTGTACTAATCAATTATCATGGGTTAGTTATGGTCAAAAATCCAAAACTTATTTAAATACATTTTTAACAGTTTCCTCATAGTGATGTTTATTATGTAATGAATCAAATATCAAAAGCATTACAAACTGATATAGATACGTTTCACATGAAATATTTGCAAAATAAAACTGAAATCGAAAGAAATGAATTTATCGAAATAATGCTAAACGAGTTTCCAAATTTAAGTCGTCATGGCATATTTGTTTTAGCATTACAGTACAAAAAACATGAAAAGTATAAAGAAGTATCTGAAAATTTATTCAGAAGCATTTTGCAGGATGAGTTGAAGCGAGAATTGTTTGTAGGTTTTGAGGGACTTGAAATTAATTTTAAACAAAGAAATTTGGATAAAAAGGACGGATATCTTGAACGTAGTAGTGCATTTAAAGCTTTAAAAAGTGCAAAACTACCATTTTCCACCGAAATTATAAATATGTTATTAGACAGGTAAGATTTATTATAATATATTTTTTTAAATATTTATACATAAAAATAAATCTTTATAATACATAAAATAAATTATATTTACTAGTTCATTTTACTAATTAGTAAAAACTATGTGTATAATTCTATTCATATTAAATTAATAACATATTTTAGAATTTTCATAATATAGTTTGGGCTTACAATTATTTCTTTTTTTTATAATTTGTTATTTGTAGTAAATTATTCTGGTTAAACACAATTTAATGGGCTTGTTATTTTTTTTTTTTATTATTTTAAAATCGTTCATCCTATAACGCAGGTAGTTGGTACATCATTTTGAAAATGTATTGATTTTATTTTATACGATCTTAACACCGAAAATGTAATATATTAAGTTTCAAGTATCTATATTGGTGCATGTTTTTCTAAATGTTATATTATTATTAATTATTTGTTGTAAAAGTTTTTTTAGACAAAATAATATGTCATTTTGTGCCATTTTGGCCTACTTTTTTTTATTAAATAATCCTCTTCCTGCCCGATAAAAATAAACTCTACGGTGTTTTTGAACAAATCAGTTTCCAATAAAGATTTAAAACTCAAAGTTTATATGCCATATAATTAATAATAACACAAAATATGTTTTATTTTAGATTTGTTCATCACGAGACAAATAAAGTGAATTACGTGGAATTATTGGAGTATTTAAATTATACTATAAACCCTACTCCCGGATCACAAGGTTTTTCAAAGGTAGGTAGTTCAGAATAATAAATTAGAATAAATATCACAATAAACGTATAAACCTTAAAATATATTGAAATGTTATCAATAATTTTCCCTCCAGGATATATTATTATACAGGAAGCCAAGTGAAACATTTATCAGAGTCGGCGAGTTCATCAGCGATTTACGGAAATTATTATAATAATAACAGTATATTATTATGATGTACGTTATATACGGCCATACGAGTCACCCCCACTCAATAGTTTTATTGGTTTCCAATATTGTTACGAGATCCAGTGAACTGATGACGCGTCAAACTGGTTTGTTTGGTAACCACTCAACATGTGGTGTTGCTGCGACAGTGACGTGCATTCAAGGGCGTTACGGGATGTATTGTATATTTGTGTGCAGTGTGAGAGTGACTAGTGAGTAGTGAGTGCTGAGTCGTTCATTTGAAACGTTTCGATGAGTAAGTGTTGTACTCAAATCTCAAATGAGAACTGTGTGATTTTAACTGCAACTATTTACTTTTGAATTATATTTTAAGAGTGTTTTTTAGCAAAATATTTATCTGATTATTATTGTAATTTTTTTTTTTTTAATTTTTCATAGTTAATTTTAAAGTATTTAAGATCTTGTGATAGTCTTGTTCATTTGGATAAATACAGTTTGTGCAAAATTTGTAAAATACACTTTACTTAGATGGTGGTTGTACAAGTTTAAAATCTATTGGACACATAGCGTGGATAAAAGGTAGTTATTTTAAGCTTTTAATCATATTATTGTTTTTACGCAGTATGTACCTACTTAGTTGTTACCTGTATGATAAGATACAATATTATTTGATCCATTTACTTTTCGTATATACTTAATAATAATTTGCGCTGAAAAAAAACAATATTTTTATGTAGGTACTTATTAAAATAATACTATGATTATGAATTATTAATATGAAAAAAACCTTGATAAACTGGTATTTTTAGAAGTATCTATTTCGATAAAAACTGATTATTTAGATAAAACTGAACATGATTTTTAAATGTATTAAGGTAACGGCTAATAACCAATAAATGTATTTATATAAAATATACTTCGTATTATTTCTTCTAAAGTTCTATTATAAAAGAATATTACATTTATTAATTCAAAAGAAAATAGGTAGGTACACACGTGTATATGGCTTATTTATGCATTATGTTTAAATAGTTTGTTATAATTTGAATTGGTTTTAATAATATATTCAATAAAATATTATTATTCTCAAATTTGTGAATTGTATTAATTATTTATTTATCAATTTGCACTTTAACACTATCTACCTGTAGAAGTATTGAAGATATTCTATATTTATGTTAACAAATAACAAGCTCAGTCATCACTCTATTGTGACGTCGACACGTACTTCAAAACTATAATAATCATCATATTATTATGTTTGTAATTAATTTTATAACTTTTTATTTCATAATTATCTTGTTATTAATAGAAAAAAAAAAATTAAAAAAGAAATTTATAGGTTTAAGTTAATAACTTATTGAATATTGCCGATATTGCATTAGCATTTTAAATTGAAAAATTAATATTATCAAAAAACATATTTATAGATTATATGTTTTGTTTTAAATTGTTTTTTTTTGCAAATTATAGCTTCTTATCGGTGGATATTTAAACTACTTTTTTATTGCATAAAATTACAAATTAGTTTTTTTATTTCCCCCTGCGTTTTCCTCATCTATATTAACCATAATAAACTAGCATGCTGAAATACGTATTAATTGTATCTCGAGATGGTAATAATATCTGAAGTTAAAAATTGTTAAGATTTAACGAAGCTTAAATAGTGAATATTGAATTTGTCATTCGCGTATCTACTTCACAAGAAAATAGTTACTAAACGTTATTAGATGTTTAACGTTTGTTCGTCAATAATAAAAATATACTTATTAAAACTTTTCAACAATAATATTTTGAATTAAAAGTATTATTAATACATTTTAAAACATTATATCGCACAAAGTATAACATATATATTATAATATTACACATAAGCACAGATACACAATAATATATAGTTTTTGTTATACCGACAGGTGACAATTTAAATACTCGTTTCTTGTACGCGCAACATAGTAAAACACATTCATATAGGTTGATTTAAGTTGTTCATAAATGAATAGAAATAAGGAAATGATTCTAGAGAAATTATTTTTACTTTAAAAACGTCCCTAGATGCTTTCAAAAATAATAATTGTATATGTATATATATATACTTGTTTTATATGTGTTGATATTTCAAAAGCATAGTGTTAAAAATATTTAACTATTGTAATATAGGCTATTGCTAATATTTTATTGAGGATAAATAAATAACACTAATAATACTGCTTATTGAAGGAAACATATAATAATGTAGTGTGTTATAATTTATGAATAATAGCATTGGTTTTGAATACTATGTATTTTATCCTCGGCATTATTTATAATTGTATTTATAACACCTCATAATCGTGTAAATATTTTGAAAAATATTATAAAAATAAAAATTATAGTAACCTGTAACATCAAGCACACAGATTAGTTAATATTTTTATTTACGAAATTATTTGGTGACCTAAGATATAAGTCACAACATTTTGATACCTACCTATAAATTTACTATATTGTAAGATTATTACGAGTATGCGTAGCGTATGGTTACTTTGATTTTTCTATAGAAAATGGTTGTTTTGAGAATTCATATTGAAAGTTTCTAGCATACTAAATAATATTATATATTATCTGTGTATTTTTTTAGAAATAAAGAATTATTAAAAATAAAAATTAACAGCTCTATATAAAATATTTATATGAAATGCATTTTTTAACCGAAATTAGTTTCGTGTATATTAAACATATTATTAATTTAAATGTTTTTCTCATGAAAAATATTTTATTAACCCTAATAATGGCAGAATAATAATTAATATTAAACCGAAAGCAATCAGATATCTAATCAATTTTATATTATAGATTATTTTGGTTTTTTTTTATATATTCAATATATATACTCTTTGAAAGAATGATTATGATAAGTGTTATTTTACATAATTTTCGAGAAACTAAATGGATGTATTTTTCAATTTATGAAACAATGATATTTACTATTTATCATTCACTATTCATTATTTATAAAAATTCTCTAAAATATTTTATAACCGGGGTAATTTTAATGCATTTTTATTTTGAATAATAATACTAAATGTTAAGTTATTAAATCATTAATTATTAATTTTATATTAAAATTTAAATTTCTTAAACCGTAAAACGTATGTGATACTAATGTAGGTAAATGTATCTATCATAACCATAAATAAATAAGTTCTGTACGCTATAATAATATGTACTTGTGAGTTGTAAGTGGATTGTAATACACCTATTTATTCTAAGTTTTCGAATCCGCCGTTAAAAATATGAACACACGCATCGTGTTCATTTAACCAGCGTTTTTATTCGCTTCGATGTTACCTATTATTGTTGAACAATAATATGCAATTATAAAAGTGAAACTTTATTGTTCTGCTATTTAAGCGTTTTATATAGCCGAATGCCACATAATCACAATGATAAAAATTCGTATCGGCTGGGTGACTGGTCGATTTATCATCTGGACAAATCGATAGCTGTTATTCGTTATTATTTCTCATTTTGTCACGTACCTATTTAGTAAATTGAACCCACATGCGCGCAAATCATTCAATATGGTTTAGAGTCGTGGCATCCGCGATGTCGTCCAAAACCCCTTGATTTGTTGTGGAAAATTACGTCAGATTAATAACTCTAAACTGAAATAATCAATATTGTACTTTTGCACTGTTTTCAATCAATTAATAAAATATTTTTAAATCGAAAAATAATATCAATCGATTACAATATTTATCGCGTGCGTTAGCGTACTCTTTTCAATAATCGTCAAAACTAATATACAGACATACAGTTTATGTACATACCTACTTGTTTCATGTTGAGTAGGATATTTTGATCGTACAGAGTCGTTTCCGAGTTTTTATATAAAACATAAGTGAGTTAAATGTATTAGCATTTCAATTTATCGGTTTTAAGGAATTTCCTTTTCGAAATATTTATATTTTTAATTTATGAAATGTGTAGTATATTAAAGTGTTATAATTCCAAATAATTTGTTCAGTATAATTTATAAGTATATATTAAAGACTTAAGGATTTATCGGGTATCTGTTTTAATAAAACTGTATATTATTTATAACAATTTAGATTTAGGTATAGTACCTGTAATTCTAATACATGATTTTTAAAATCTATTTTATTTTCAATTATATCGTGTTTTAATATACTATATTATTTGCATTAAAGAATTATTTAATGTAAGAAATTTAATATTAAACCTTTAATTTGAATAGCGTACAAATAAATACACTTGACACAATTATTGGATAATAACTACATTACATTATCCAAAATTTCATTAAATTTTGACGTTGGTCTACAATGATAGGGATCGAGTAAAAATTGATAAAAAATTTACTTTTATTTTATAATCAATATACACTTTGTAATGAATAGTAATGTGGTACAAGAAAAAAACAACCAGCTCACATTTTTCGTGTTCACTGTTAAATATTGGTTATTAAATCGAAAGAAAAAAACGATAGCGTTACATCTGTTTTCAATTTGGAATTATTGAAATGCTTGTGTGTTGCTACAGTAGCAGTTACAGTAATACCTACGTTAGTTGAAAAAAAAATATTGACTAACTGACTTACTATGTAAATAAAATTTTCATAGTATACCCATAAGATTAAATGAAACAAGAATAAAACTTATAAAAACACAATTATGTTACATTATATTTTAATATTAGATAACTACTTCCTATGTATTCTGTTTTAAATTCTAAGCAGGCGATTATTGTGTTAGTTTTAAATGTGGTCTTTCATAATCTTTTGAAGTAGTAAAAATGTTTTAATCTTCAACGTCGAGGGTAGTTTCTGGTAGCAAATGTTGGGATTAAAATTTAACACATCCAGTGATCCATTCAATTACGAGGTAGGTACACTCAAAACCTACTCCAGCGAACAGTGAAACCTCTCTACAGCAGACAGCATATTGGCGAATTCAAATATATTCACTAATAAGGGTTATTCACCATTACTATTTAGTATTTACTGATTTATACCTGGATATAATATGCCCACGTTATTGAAGCGTATTCGTGAACAGAGTTTTCGTTGTAATACTGAATACCTACAGAAGAGCGACTTCCCTGGCTAATTTTTTGAATTAGTTCGTATAAGATGTCTTACGTTTAATGTAAATAATACTGGTGTTATGTAATTGAAGTTGAAATTGATAGTTAAATATTTTAGCGAATTCTAGTTTTAGTAATTGTTCAGTTAATCGTGAACCGGTTGTGGTGTTCGTTTTACAATCTAATATTGTAATAATTGCTAATTATTACCAGAAGAATGTTGCTCAATCGTGTTTTTAAAATATTTAAACCTCGGGCTCTATGTTTCTTCCACGAATTCCGCAAAGAATAATAATTACCTATCGATTACTATAATTGAACATATTGTTTCTCATTTAATATATGCCCTACAACGTACGTAGGTAATACAGCGAGCCAAATACCAGGATCGTATTGATTCCCGGCGGGAAGCCTAAACATTGTTCGTGGCCGTCTAGTTCCTACGTCACTGAGGGATAATTACACACCGGACCAAATGGAATAGGTAAACCCTCATAAAACCATCAGTCTTTGTAAAACAAAATCCTTTCAAAGCGTTCGCCTTCTTTTTGATGTAGTTTCACGTATAATATTCAAGTGGGAAAACATACTTCTGCGGTAATCGTTATTAAATTTTTTCTGTTTTCTTTTTAACAATTCAGAGAATTTTCATACTCGTAATATTATATACACGATATAATATATACATGTACTCGTATTCATAGATGCCCTACGTTTATTTTGCAGCGCGCGCACTTATTATAAAATACGGTAAAATGTACGTTCGTTTACATGGACGTTATTATTGACATAATATCATAGAGTGTTACAGGTCTATTATGTACAGGGCGATTCTTTAAGCATATTAACACTTATACCCGTATTTTATTTAAATATTGAATTTATTCAAATTTTAAGCGTTCCATTATATTTTTGAATTACTTCGATTTTTATACCACTTAAATAGTGTTCCAAGACGTACTACAAAAAAAAAAAAAATCAATACCACGCTTTTTTACTATACAAATTTTTATTTATATTTTATGTAAGATTACTAAATTTGTTATTAATTACCGAATATTATTCTATTTGTAAGAATTTTAATAATTCAGAAGCTAATACAAGTCTGAATTTCTATCTAGGTAGATGCATCCAATATTTTCAATAAAATATTAAATGCTTAAACACATAGGTATTGTTATAAAAGAGTAATTCTAATTTGAAAAAATTAGTTTGTATTGTCACTGGATACTCTCAAGTATTTTTTTTAAATCTATATATTTATAACTATGAGGAGAAGGGAAGGGGTAGACAATAAGTATATTTGGTGAATCACCCTCTATATTTATTTGTATTAATTTGCTCGAGTCTCTGTTGTACCTACACAGTTATTGACGAATGCATAATGTTTTGTATTATTATTTAATAAAGTGAAAAACTATTCGTAAACCCTGCGCTTGAATACAAAATATATTTATGTTTGGCCGTCTGGTGCTATACTGATTTATTTTTATTGTTATCTCGGAAAGAATTATCATTGCGATTCAATTTGAATGGCATTATGAAAATATCACGTCGGTGTATTTTCGTAAATATTTATAAGGAGTAATAATAATTATTATTACTATTGACGCCGAAGGTTCGAGAAGACAACTGACAAACTTGATGGGAACAATACATTCATCATTTTTTGTTTATTATTATTATTATTTTATAAATTTATATCGAGGGACATGGGCACTGCGCGTACGGATAACACGAAAAAAGTCGTAAATTATCTAATCAATGTCGTTGTTGCAAAACAAAGACACACGTAAACAATACGTTGTAGGTATTCTTTGTCGTCGTGTGCTAAAATATCACACATATAATATGTATATTGTATATATATATATTATTTATTAGTATTATACGCGTATGTAGACATTAGACCTTGGTTTAGTGAATTTATAATTTGACGAAAAAAAAAGTAACGCACACCTCCGCATAATATATATAATAGGTAATAATAGCCCGTGAACGATATTATAATTGCGACTGCAGTGCTCTGTAATATTTTTTCTCGAGTTCGGTCTCTTCCGTTTACGAGACGGTAATATTTATTATTATTGCATTAACCAACCGTTGAACATGAACGACCACGTGCAGCAGAGGCGTTTTCGTTTTATTATTATTATTTTTACTTTTAATATTTGGCGCACGATGATGCAATGGACGTTTAATTCATTGACAGGGAGCAATCACCTTTAATTGACACACTTAAACTTCAACTATACTGCACCGTCAGTATGTTGTTATTATATTACGTACGTATACGCCACAAACAGGAACTATAACATCCTCGTAATATTATATAGGATAGTCGGTAGGTACTTACCAATCGGCCACACGATACAGAGCAGCGAGCACCACGCCTCCCTCCTGAGTACGGTCTAGATCGGTTTGAAATTGCATTACGATTGTGTTCGTTTAAGTTTTCGTGGAGCTAAAAACAAAAAAAAAAAAAAAATAATAAAATAACGTATAGATGGTTTACGTAGGTACTGAAAGTTTGACCGCCGCCACTCGTATGATTTTCATACCGATAAATTTTAATACTTCACGTCGCAGTATGACGACGGTCCAAATTTTAATGTACTACCACACGCATACATCATATTTTATCATAATCGTGTACGACGTGTATCATATCCGTCATTATGTCAATACACGTCTCATATTAGTCATATTATAAAAATAACAACTCGCCGTGTTTCGGTTACTACGAATCTCCAATAAATTTTCTAATTGTATGATTGGCGTTAGGAAAATACACTGGTTTGAACAACTTTTTATGGATCCATTCCTACTTATTTTCATCTTAATATCATACAGATATGCCTTGTTTTCAACGATTATTTACAAACCTCGACGGCGTAATGTTCTATAATACTTTTATTTTTTAATCTTCAGCCCGTTAGACGAGTAACAACAGCTAACAAGTGCACTGCAGTAGAGTGATGTCCAATCTATTTGTGTATACGTTAATCAGCGGTACGATGACTTATGTAGATATATGGTGATGGTTTTATTTTACGCGTAGTGTGTGTGCGTTGTACATAAATTCACTATCTGACACTATTATTGTTTCCTGTTCGAGAGAAGTGTGCATTCGATTCGTTTCAAATGTGTAACGAGTACAATATATTATCATTTATCAGTTAAAAAACTATACAACAACAAAATATTTTGTATTAGTAACACTGTTATTGTTTTTATATTATATTTGCGAACATGTCTTAATATAAGTGTCAGAAACATGCAGTTTCGTCTTCGGGATTCCTCTTATTCTCTGATTATATCGCCACAACAATAGACGGATTTTGCGTCATTTTTCGACAGGAATTAATCGTATTGTATATTCGCGCCAAACTAATATGGACGTATAATTATTAGTTGTACGAAAGTACTCATGTGTTCCAAATCAATTAAATAATTTGATTTCATAACTTGTAATACATCTAAATTGTATAGCGACACTTATCTTAAAAAAAAGTTTTAAACTAGCTGTGGATAGGGTAAAGCGTGACAAAATAAGCTTGCAAAGAACTCAGTTTAACAATTATTAACTCTAATTACTTGGCGGCGACATCGTTGCTGTTGGCGATCTGTGGTGCGTATGATGACCTCTAAGTTCCGTGTTTTTGTATTCACGACATGTGCCGTCACCTGTATCGTAATCCATGGGCGGCCACATACGCCGCCGGCTATGAATTAATATTGTGATCAGCACATCTTTCCGGCTGCGACCGTAAGTCGACCCCCACCCATATTAACCCTGGTCTACAGGGTATCTGTCTCGTCGAATTTTTCATTATAGTATTGCGACGTTATTTCTAATTTATATTATTTATGAAATACTATTTTAGAAATTTTTCACCGCGTGTCATACGGTTAACCGCAAGTCATTATTCGCAGTAATTTTCGGATCAAAACTCGAAACAAAATCAAATCATATTAGTCGTTTTCGCGTTTATTAAAAACCCGTCGATCGCCATGGCTATCGATTAATAATGTATATAAAAAGGTTAACATTTTACAAGACAGTTTACCACTACAATTACCGTTGTTGGGGGTTCAAAAAATTAAAGGAGATTCTCAAAAAAATAAGCTTCTGATAAAAGAATATGTTATATTATATTGTATTATACAGATGTGGCCCGCAAGAACAACCACACGGTGAAACACCCTATATAGTTACTTTTAATATACCACACTTCCTTTCCCTTAATCACGTATGGGCTGGGAAACACCAGACTTGAATATTAAAATGCGCCGTATGTTTACATTTGTTTTTACTCACTTTCGTCGGGCATGCATTACATACACACTCACATTTATATAATATTATATCACATTTATCACGAGACTCGATGCGCCGAGTGAAATACAAATTAAACCCGTAATGGAAGTTGAGGTTTCTTTTGAATAATTTCGTTTCATATCTTACCACTCGCACTACTCCATGCAGTATACAGATACACACACATGCACACTCGTGAATAGACACCGACGGGAACGTGAGAGCTCCCAGTGTATATACTCACGTGTTGCACGTGTAACGAGATCATAACCGGAAACGGGGAGGGTGTATAATAAATAATAGAAATCCTTTTCCCGTGCGATCTGGGGCAGCTGAAGACGCGCCCTTTAGACGCGTATGGTTCATATCGATCTAGATTTTAACGGAGATCGTCTTCCTGTTCGATTTTTTTCCTTTTTGTGTTGTTTGTCCGCGTTACGCGGATTCACATCCGTTGGCAGCGACCAAATGTTTCCAACGTGAACATTTTGTATTACTTTAATGCGTGCTGTGATTCGCAGGTATTTAACCATGGGAGCCGAATCTCAATATAGCGACACTCTCAGATCGTCCAAGAAATGCAGCAAGTTGAGGCCATTGAAGATAACCGCAGTCGGCGACGGAATGGTTGGAAAAACTTGCATGCTCATCACTTACACAACTAAGCAGTTTCCTACGGAATACGTGCCCACCGTGTAAGTGAAAACGACCTTTTTTTATAATAGTTATATTATGTAAATTTATAAACAAGCAAAGCAATTATAATGCAGTTGTAGTGGGTACATAGTATACCTACAGTTAACACGTTGATTTTATTTTAATCAGTGGTTGACAATTTATTGTAGTTGGTCATAACTTACTATATATAATATTATGTGTAAAAACACAATATTGTTGTGACTCATAATAATGTTATTTATTATTATTTTAATATTCTATTTAATATTATTGGCCTACTGGATAGTTGAAATAATCTCGGCTGTTTTAAAATGCTATTACAACTAATGCCATATTTGTGGTGTAATAATGATTAATGATTTGAATGTGTATACCAGTGTTATCTACACTTTGTTCTATATTGATAATTATATTCTTATGGAGAAAAAATAAACAGTTTAGCTGCCGTTTCATAAAAATTAAAAAGTGATATCAAAATACAATCCCACATTTGAGGTACATCCTGTTGATTACTTGTTGATCGTAAAAATGTGAAGCATATGAATTTCTATTAAAAATATAGTTTTTTAATGATCAGGCTTGTAATTTATTTATTGTTTGGATTACATTTTAGAATTTTTAGCTAAAATTATAAATATTTTATTTTCATTATTGATGCTATTGTTATCTATCACATATTCGTTACCAATAGAAAATCATTCAAAACATTTCTTGTCTTGTCGAACTGTTAAAGAAAACACTGCCTATTGCAAAAAATGCGGAGTTATTTAAAGTACATTTTTTTAATATTTAAATTTTAATAGAATTTAATAGTATTCATAATAAGTTTTAATTTCTCAATTACAAAAATCAAAATATTGTAAAGATCATTAGCTGGGACCCACTAATTGTGTTCATTATTAGTACCTATATTTTGCGACTACTTAATTGGTTTGTAAAATTTGACTATGAAATGAAAAACCTAAAGAGTAATTTTGTTACAGTTTGAGTTATTTGTTAGACGATAAGACAGATGTTAAGCTTGTGTACTTCGTGTAAGTTATCCATTGTTAAAATTAAAGTACAAACGTAGTACAATCAAAAACTATAAAGCGTGGGTACTGGGTGTGATTTTTTTGGTGATAAATTAATATATATTTGGAGAATATTCTAAAAGTTACTTAAGTTACTGTATTTAAACGTTGAAAGTACTTCGGAGAAGAACATTTTAAAATTGTTCAGTAGCTACAGAGAAAATCGCAAAAACACAATTCACAATAACCTATATTATACTATAATATAAAGGTGAATAATACAATATGTGTGAGTATTATTTATTGATGTAATTACTCCTTTTTTAATACGAGTTTGATCATATTTTTAGATTTACCAGATAAAACTGTTGCTCGTAGTAAAGTATATTATTTTCAAATTTAAAGACATCTGTCCTATTGAGCGCACCAAATAACTCTAACAACTATACGCAAGTGATGAATATTGCATTTTGTTTTATTTTGTTAACGGTTCATAGTTACCTAATAGGTTATTTATTACATTTATTCATACGATATTCTATTTTTTAATTTTTATAAACTTAAAAATAAACAGCGTAAATTATTATATTGATTTTCATGTGGCATAAGTGTTCATGAACCACGTTAATAATTAAAATATGTAGGTATTAGAGAAAGTATGTCAGAAATGAGTCATCTTATTTGTGACTAAATAATACCTGAGAAGGTTCTTTTTATTTAAATGTTAACTATAAAGCGACCTATATTAAGATTTGACGTTGTTATATTTACTTATTGTATAGCATTACCTTTAAATTGGAGAATATAAATATAAATCATATTATTTAAATTAGTTATTTAGTGTGTTAAAAGTGTGTAAACGTTGCAATACCTTTCCTTTATTTAGGTTTTCATAAATAAAAATATTTTAATTTATTTTTAAAAATGTAATATTAAGATTTAAAAAATCTATTATAAAAATATGAAAGTCTTAAATAGCTAGGTTTATATTTTATAATAGCATATTTGTATGTATTTAATTTATAATTTGTGTTTTATATTTAAATTGTATTTGTAGTTGAATTAAATTAATTTAAAATTGGTTTTAGTTTTAAACTTATAATGAGTTTAATTTTTTATTAAATTAAATTAGATGTTAAATTTCATCAAAATAAATATTTAAGATAAGTGATGGTTGCTATTGTCAAGTTCTTGTATTATGTCAACAACTTTCAAATATAATTACATTTAGTTTAGAACGTATGCTACACAAATTAGATCACATTATTGATTTCCCAATCAACTAGGCAGATATCGGTTAAAGTCTGAAAATAGTAAATAATAATGTATAATGTATACTATACGTAGCTTCCATAGGTACCTATAGTTTTATTACTTTAGTTATAACTTATAACTTTTAATATACTTGCGGACATAATGTGTTCAATGTACAATGTACTTAGAAATTCGATTAAAATTATTATTAATGTTATAGACATAATTTAAGTTGCAATAAATTATTTATGAAGCTTATCAATAATATTCATTTTTTAATTTAATAGAATATTTTTGTTTCTTTATAACTAATATGGTATAAATTATAAATCTAATTTATACATATATGAGTATAATATAATGTAATAAATTTGAGTATTATATAGACATAATGTATTAACGTGGCAATCATTTGTATCGTTATATTTTTTAATAGGGAAGGAATATCAAGATTTTTTAATAATAATAATAATAAATATTTTTAATGTATTTTAAGATTCGACAATTATGCAGAGAACATAATTATGGATGGTCAAGAATACAACATGTGTCTGTGGGATACTGCTGGCCAAGAAGATTATGAAAGACTTAGACCATTGTCTTATCCTAATGTAAGTTAAAACATTTTACTTTTTTAATATTGAAACACATTTTAAATGTATTATTGTAAATACAATTTTATTTTTCATATTTTTTTATTCATAGCTTAAGAGTTATTCACGAAAAAAAGAACGGCAAAATTTTAAAAAAAATAATCTAATTGATTACTTGAATAATTGCTCTTAACATTTTTATTATTCATAATTTTTATACACTATTCAGTTTTAAAACACATGGTTTCCGGATGAATCACATAAAAAAAAAAATGAAAACCATTATGTTATATTAATATAACGATATTATATTACAGACGGATTGTTTTCTACTTTGCTATTCAGTCGGTAGTCGAAGTTCATTCGAAAACATTGCTAGTAAATGGCATCCGGAAATTCAACACCACTGTCCGAAAATACCTGTGATATTGATCGGTAAGGCCAGATGACGAATAGTGTATTGTACCGTATGGGTGCGAATGCTGGGATATTATGTTCTATGAATTTCGAGTTGTATTTATTTGTTTTTATATACCATGGGAATTATTTAACACACGAATATTATTGAACTGATGAAAAACAAATATCATTTTTTTGATTTCCGTGTGTCAAATATTATGTAATCTCTACTTTAATTATTTTATTATTTAACCGCGATTTGGTGTTAGCTATAATAATACTTCATTTTACGTTATTATTGCATTTAGTAAGTACTGCATAAATATTGGACCTGAAATACACAAAAACTTAATAAACAAATTAAATCTATAGATTATTTAAGTTAATGGGGATAATGATATATTAATATGATCGTTATATTTTTTAATATTGAATATCCAAAACAGAAAAAACATAAATTATTTACTTAGTTTTGCTATAAGTAAATTAAAAATAAAAATAGAAATTAAATTTTGTTTATATTAGTTCAAAATAATTACGCGAAAACAAATAAACGAACATCCGGAGTCCGTACAAACACTACAAACACACAAGTGTACTCCGATCAAGAGTAGTATTTGTACCTATCTATTGTCCACGTATAACATAACATTTTAATGGTCATCTTATTTAATAGTACCTAGTGAATAATAATTAAATTCATAAAAAATAATAGTGTAATGGTTGTGCATTACAACGACGCGATTGCGGTTGGTCTATGTATAATTTATGTATTACATTTATGGTGATTTATTTGATGTATCAATACAAAATTATATCAAACACGAAACACGTGACGTATAGGTAAAAGCAGTAAAACGTTAAAATACTCAACACGATATAATATAATTTGATTACAAACTTAAATAAAATAAAAATAAAATAAATTTTAGGTTGAATAAACGGTTTAAAATATATGTAGGTACCTAGGTCTTTTATTATTTTCAATAGATCCAAACCATCAGTTTCGGTCATACGTATTTTTTGGAGAGTTTATAATGGTTATTAGTGTTATTACGATTTGTGAGATTGACACGAAATGTCGACGACAGTTCGTCATTATTATTATTATCGTCAAGTGAATTGACGACTCGCAATCTTTGCGATAATGTTCTATACGTGTTTTAATAGTTAGTTATTTATTATTATACAATATTGTTGTGCTTATTACTATTATTCAATATGTAAACAGGGAACTGGGAAATCTAAACTAGGTCGTGTCATAACTTTTAGAATATAATGTAATATTGTCTGGAAGTTTGGACACAAGTTCAATTAACCGTTATCAAATAATAATTACATTTGTAGGTACGAAAACGGATTTAAGACTGAGCCAAAACGACTGTATAACACGGAAAAAGGGCAAAAAAATGATGAAAAAGATCGGGGCCGTCAAGTACCTGGAGTGTTCAGCTCTGACTAATGAAGGGCTGGATACCATATTTATGGAATCGGTTCGCGCGGCCATCAAAAAGCCAAGACAGAACTGTTTCGCTTTCCCGTTCACCCAATGTTGTAAATAGAATACGTTCTCAGGACTCCAACATCATCCATCGTTGTTGTCGTTGTCGTCATCGTTGTCAAGTATTCGCGAGATCTCGTACCACGCTTATACTATCCTCAGTAATAATTGTTGTTTCGCTGTTGAGTGTCCTATACGCATTTTACATATATAGTATAATGTAGTTATGAAATACGGCGTTTCGTTTATTATAACTCACTTTTGGAATGTAAAATATGTGCCATAGATTGTGAATCGCCTGTAAATAATATTATATATATAATATAAAATGTATTAACGTAACGCTGTTTAAACCTATCTACCTATCTCACCATATACTATTATGACCTCGCCGCGATAATGAACCAACGAGATTTTATGTACAAGTCGTCGGCTTATTATAAACTATAGAGTATGCTTAAATATTGTTTTTTTTTTTTTTTGATAAATGTAAAAATGTATTATTATTAATTTTTTTAATTATTTTTATTTGTTTGTTTTGTCATGTGCATAATATAGTATGTATAATATCTAGTATATCTCACACTATATATCACAGTATGACACGAATATTTGATTATTATACAATTTCAGTTTTGATTAATTTGTTATTAATTATTAAACTATTTATAAAAGATGACATCGTTTGCGTTAATTACATTTCAATTTTCCCAAATAATTAAAATAATGTTTAAAAACTCATTTTGGTTTTTTCATAAACTCGTGGTTCTCTTTCAAGTTCCAACAGTCAATTGTTATATAATTATTTAAGTAGGTATGCGATTAGTAATAGTTCATTAGCTGATGATAATAATATTTCTAGAATATATTTACTTACTTGTATTCTATCAGTGTATTCCAATGCCGGTAATATTTAAATAATGCGTTGGAGGTAAGTACCTATTTCGTTTTTTTTTTTTTAATCTGTATAAAATGAGAAATCTTAGATTTGTAACTTTTAAATTATTGAATTCTTAATAATTTTTGTTATCTTTTAAAACATTTTACCGACAACCACAATTTACGATTAAAATATCTCTTAAATCGAGCGTATCTATAAGGTACGACTAACAATAATTATAGCCACGCAATCTTATCATACACAATAATTTATAAATTTAATACTTTAATGTTTAATCTTCCGCGTGTCATTGTGAAATGTCTGAATACGATAACACGTATATTGTTGTTCGTTGAACGTTTTTGATTAGGTAACAAATGATTTTCTACAATGGTTCGTTTCACTTTGAGAAATTCTTTAAGCAAGAAGATAGCTGGTTACCTAAGTGGTTGTATTTATTATAAAAATTATGTATTTTCATAACAATGGTCCAAATATAGCTTTATAATTGAGTGAATTTACGTCCTCAATCACATTTTTCGATACCTAAATATTCTAATCTTACTTGAATTTAGGATCAAATGAATTATAATTATTATCAATATTTTAATAAAAGTACAAAGCAATCTGAGCTTAAATATGGTCAAATAAACGAGCTCAAATAATAATTTCGATGGTGACCGCACGGTCGATTATTTTTTAATAATAACACATTGCATATATAGTATAGAATTATTTTGAAACATCATTTATATTCTAAAATTTTGAGAATGTGATACTGTATTTCCACTTTATTTTTTATTTTTTCATGATTCGAGAGTAGTGACCATTCAATTGACTCAGCTTATTTGCATATCCATTATACATGTTATCATGTTAACATTATTTAAATTTTTTCAAAAAATTTCAAACCTTGTGTTATAATTTATAAACGTTTGTGTACAACTGTCCAAACTTTTAGTTCTATATCAAATGAATTTTACTGTGCATTTGGTAAGCATAATAATATAAACTATTGAGAATATATATTATTATCTATAAAGAGAACTCGATGGCGTATTCATAAATTTTGATGGAAAATAACAGATTTTGAAATGATAATAACGTACCTACCTGCTGTCGCCTATGTATCATATAATTTTAAAATATTTAAATTATATAGTATACTTTATGTAAGTAGTGATACTAAATATTCTTTAAAATTAGAAATATATTTAAATGAGTTGTAACCGTTGTGAATAACAAATATTGATTCTGAATTAAATTAAAATGAAAGATAACATTATTGCATTTGTGGGTAAGTTGTTTCAATATTTTTTTTTTTAAATTTTAAATCGAAATATACAATCTATATCAGATGACATAATAAGTATATAATATGATAATAGATAAATAACATGAATATACAGAATAAAAATTGAATAAAGAAGCCACCCAATGATGATACTTTAGTGTTGATTTTAAGTTGTAAAATTAGTATTTATTTGCATGTTTTTTTTAATTTTTTTTATCTTAGATTACAATTTGTAAAAGATTTCTGCATCATTTACGTTTTAAGCGTCTAAATGGAAGGCAGCCAGGGATTGTAAGAAAGGAAAGGTTTGTAATTAAAGGATTTCAGTGGGAGGAAAGACGGTTGTGGAATCTTTTGTAAAAGTGTTTGGCTTTTTCGTGGATTATTTTTAATTTCAGGTCTGTATGGAAAGTATGGTTAGATATGTACGGGGTGGGGGGATTTATTAATTTTTTTAGGAAGGATTGAATTTTATTTATATTTGTCTTTTTTTGCACTCCCTATAGCTGTATGCTGTAAGTTTAGAATGGTTTCAGTAATGTTTTGTAGATAAGGAGTTTAATATCAGGGGAGGTATGTTTATTAGAGATTAAAGGTTTGAGAATACGAAAACGGTTGTTCAGTCTTTTTGCTCTAATGTGGTGGGCCTATGTTAATCTTTTATCTAGTGTAAGACTAAGATATTTAACTGTAGGAGAGGATGGTATTGGTATAGAGATACCTCAAGGGAAGGAGCTGGTCGTGTGTAAAGGTAGTGTGGATAGACTTACTATGATTTAATTTAAATCTCCATTTGGTTTACCAATTCTTCATGAGGTAAAATTGTTTCAATATAAAAATAAAATAAATTTATTTATACATTTAGTTAATATGTTATATGTAATATGTTTTATTACATGATATGTTATTTCTAAATAATAATTTTGTTATTGTAATAAATATTATTATTAAAACTATTTAATATGTAATAAAGGGTTGATCTGAGGCATTGAAGCGGGAAAGATTCTTTTAAATAATTCTAATAAGTAACTCTAGAGATTTGGTTCAGACCCGATCCACCAGCGTATAATTTTCTAACTACTTATTCGTTTCGCTAAAATTTTAATATTAAACAATATAACTGTGTTATAGGTTCTAGTAATATTCTATAATATATTCATGGATATTTTAATATGAATATATTTTTATTTTAAATATTAATTGTAACTGTTAATTTATCATATTATTTAATATTAAAAATTATATTTCTTAACCAGTACAATTCGTGCGTCACTACTCATTAATATTTAGATAAATGTATCTATTATAATATTAGCAAAATATGTTCTGTACACTACAATATTTATTTTAAAATAAATTACAAAATATACATTTTAAATTTTTGAGACTGTTGTTAAAAATATAATCACGTATTGTGTTTGTTTATGCTTAGCGTTTTTAATCGCTTTGATGTTACTTAACATTGTTTAATAACACAATGTAATTACAAAAATGTAATTTTGTTGTTTGACTGTAAAAGTTTCTTTAATGTTTTATGTAGTCGAATACCGTATAATATATATACCGCATATATATATATATATACCTTATATTTTTTATATGATAAAAAATCGTCATCTAGGTGACTAGACGATTTTTCATCTGATCTGAATTGATACTCGGTAGAGTTATTAATTATACTTTATCACTTTTTTATGCATCTATTTAATTAGTTAAATACCCACACGTGTGAAAATAATTAAATGTGATTAGATCTGCGGCATCCGCGACGTTGTCAAAAAACCTCTCGATTTCTTGGGAAAAATCACGTCAAATTTGTTACTTTAAACTGTAATAATAAATATTATATTTTTAAACTGTTTTTAATCAGTTAATAATATATTTTTAAATTAAAAATAACATTAATCGATTACAATATCTGTCCCATGAGTTTACGTAGTCTTTTTAATTTAATTAACATAAGCATACAATTTCATTCAATACTCGTCCAGTAAAGTTTAGCAACGTATAACTTTGCAATTATGGAAGATATAAAAACCAAACTTATAAGGTATTCTAAGTATTATTCAGTAAAATAATACAAAAAAAAAAAAACCCATACTAAATATTGAATCATTTGGAACTATACAAGCATTTTTTTAAATTCTAACTTTTGATAAAAAATGTTTACTTTTTTCAATTTAATAATAATTTGCATGATCTCTGGTTTAATTACTATGTTGTTTGATAGAATAATTAAATAGCTTTAAAATGAAAAAAATTACGTTAAAATGTTGAAAATTTTTTGAGAAACATAAATGCGTAATAGATTTGGTTTTATTTAAAAAAAGGTAAATTTTCCATAATTTGTAAAATAAAAAAGTTAGACCCCCTCTTTAAAAGTTATTTCTTCATAATTTTAGGTTTACTTTCATATGGCGTCGGCCGGTCATTTCCTTCTGGAAAACATTATATTTGTATATGCATTTAATTTTTTATTCGTGATAGTACTATACATATATATTTAAATTATTTTTATAGTTAAAATAAATTGTTCCTCTATAATTGGCTTAAACTTATAATGTGTTCAATTTTTTAATAAATTAAAATTATGTGTTACATTTCATGAAATATTTTGAATGCATAATGGTTGCTTAAATTAAATTTTGGTATGTAAAAATTTTACCAAAATCATAAAATTTAGTTTTGAGCGTCTGCGCGTATGCTAATTTGATCATGATATTGAGTTCTCGATGAATTATTGTTAGAGTTTAAAAATAGTAAATAATAACATAGACGTTATACATATAGGTTATAGATACTAATAGTTTGTTTAATTACTTTGATTTTAATGTTATGACATCATACATGAGAGATATTATGCTTTATTTTTAATATTACATTATAAGTATAATTAAATATCTTTAATAGACATTCTATTTATTTTTTTAATTTATAATTTTATTTTCTATAAAATATTTTTGTTTTTCTCTATTATTAAAATATAAATTACAAATTTAGTTGATATATTCATGTTAAGTAATATAATACAGTCATAATTTATTAACATGACAACCATTCGTAATTGGATTTTTTAATAGGGGAGGAATATCAAGTTTATTTTTGAAAACACGTGTTTACAGCTAATAATAACCATAAATATTTTTAATGTATTTTAAGATTCAAAAATTATGCAGAGAATTTAATTATGGATGGTCAAGAATACATTTGTTTCTGGAATACTGGTGGAAATAATAATTTTGAAAGAATTAGACTATTGTATTATTCTAAGATATAGTGTTTTAAATTAAAAATATGCTTAAGTGCACTTTTCATATAATATAACATGATATTATAGGCAAACCATTTTATTTTACACATTTTCGTTGTTTACGGCTTATTGAAACGAAAAAATCTTTAAAATAAATAAATGAATCTTTTAAGCAGCTCTTGAAATTGTT